CCTCCCAAAAATCATTACATCCTCCTTTTTTACATAACCCTAAACTCCAAACTACAACTACAAAATGATAATTCTCAAGATCAACAATGGCTCTTTTCACTTATGCTTCTACTGCTAATGTTCACAAAGCTCCAAATACTCCCAACACTTCGCTTTCAATCAAGGACACGAATGTATGTGCTTCGTATGTAATTCCCTAAAAGTTTCAAAAGAAAGGAATTGAAGCTTTAATTCAATTCCTGAATGCTCATCCTCTCCGATATGCACTCTCTGATTGACCAGCTACTTTCTACGCAAATCAAATATAACTATTCTTGCTCATATGACTCAAAATAATAATTAGTAATGGTGGTTATGAAATCCTCCTAACTATTGAAGCTATTTGTGATGCCTTTCGTCTTCCCAACTATGCTCCTTTTTCTACCACATCAACTGAAGAGAAGTGTAAGTCTGTGCTTGTCAGATTAGGGTATGATCTTTCTTTTTCAAGGTACTTGAGATGGATCAACTTATGTTCTTCATTAATTTCTCCCCCCTGGCTGGAAAATTCTTACCGGGTTATCGGTAAATGTCTAGGGCATAAAACTGGGAGTCTTGACCAATTAAATATGCATGAACTTAGGATTTTGTATGATATGGTCGAGAAAAAACACTTAAATTTTGCTCAACTTATGTTTGATCGAATTGTCCCACTGATCTCTGGCGAGAAACGACCCATGTATGTAACTCACCCAAGGATGATTGACATTCTTTTGGAATTTATTCAAATAAGGTACAACAATGAAAAATCCGTTGAAATAATTGTTCCACTGATATCATTTATAATTATTAATGTGACTCCTCATCCAAGAGACACTTCTACTAATTAGTGGACGACTCACTAGATTGACAATCCATATGCTTTTGGTCATAGGGTGTATGACCCGATTATTGCTCAGCTTATAAATGAGATGTCTATTGAAGAATCTATTGAGTCTGACAGTGACAATGACGAAGATGATGTTGGGAATGAGGGTGAAGAAGAAGAAGATGTTCAAGGTGAATAAGAAGACCTTCAGCGGAATGAAGTTGAAGTTTAGGGAGATGCAAATTTGGAAAACACTGATACCACCAATAATGATCATGAGTATGCCACTGACTCTATTACATCATCTGAGTCTCCCATAATTACAGCTTGTCCAGTTCATGCCACTGCTCATAAGTCTCCACATGTCAACAAACATACATACTTTAATTCTTCATCATCGCGTTCGCTTAGAGGTATCCCTCCAAAACTAGCTGTCTCTGAGCATCTATTTGGTATTGATACCTCTTTATTGTAATCCCCTGAGTAAACTAATACACCATCTTTTCATAATTCCCCACCTCCTAGTCATCCTAATCCTACTTCATCTAATGCCCCTCTAAACCTTAATTCTCAAAAACTTGCAATCCTCAATACCTTGATTGGGTTAGCTCAGACTTTTGTTGACCATGTGGCATGTCTTGAGGCTAATAATTTTGATATAAAGAGGGTGGTATTACATCATGATACTCATGCCTTCTTTCAACCACCTCCACCAAGTTATCCACCTCCTCCTCCACCACCACCTCCCTCGAATCACCAGCTCCACCTCCTCCATATTCTCAACAACTCCCTGATACTACAACCCCTGGTTCTTTTAAAGCTGGTTCCTGAGTTGTGGTTAACGAGAGAAAGGGAGGGATATGGAAGGAAGGTGAGGTATTTCGAAGGAAACCCATGTTCCCGAGTTTAATCAATGGAAAGAAAGTGAGGGGAAGGAAAGGATTTTGGGGATTGATTTTCCTTCCAAATTTTCCTCCCAAATTGCACGGAAACTGGAAGAAAATTGGAACGTATATAGCCTTGATCTTATTATGGACCATTATACCCTCAACCCTATTAATAAAAGATCACGTAGCCGTAAGTCTCCTATAATCGTCTTGCTCAACTTCCCTCATCCTGCTCATATTCGCGCCATACCCATCTGATCAGGTACGCTTCATCCTCTATATACAATTTCTTTTTCTTCATCTTCTACCTGCATGATGTTCCTAATGTGCAAAACGTGCTGATCAGTTGAAGTTACAATACAATTTTGATAGTAAATCAATCATTTCATGTGAATGTTTGATATATATGCACATTGTTATACAAGTTTTAGTTGAATAAATAAATTGATTATCATATCTCAATTACAATTACTCTCATTTAAACTAATTTGTTCCAATCCAACCTCGACAATGATGTTATTTGACTCAATACTTGATACACATTCTCAGATTGAGGGTGTGTTTTATCAGCATACAAGAACTCATGAAAGACACCCTCTACTTGTACACAACTACACCCTGGTGTTTTCTTAACACCATTCCCTCTCATCACACTTCTAATATTCTTTACCTAATTCCATTTACATATACTTGCACATAAACTATCCATAAGTACATAAACACCGCTATCATTTGGATCCAAATTAAGAATCTTTTCAGTAGCAATTTTACCTAGTTCCACATCACCATGCATCCGACACGCATTAAGAAGTGCTCCCCGAATAGCTTTATCTGCTTCCATTGCCATTTCTCTTATCAGCTCATAGGCTTCATCCAAAACACCAATTCTTCCAAGTGAATAAATCATGCAAGCATAATGTTCCACTCTTCGTTTAACCCCAAACCTGGTTTCCATCTCTTTGAAGTAGCTTCTTCCTTGAGTGAGTAATTGTGACAACCCGAAATTTTTTGCCTCGTAAGTCCAGCCACCCAATTCAACCGTGTGTCAGACTCGTTCCTGCTATCAGTTAGCATTGTTTAGAGTCTGTTTAAGGGTTCTAAGCTCAGTATATTCAAGCATTGGGTTTAGGGATGTGTCAACTAAAGTTCTTCGCGTTGAAATCGAGCCGAACAATCCATCAGAGGGAGTGTACGGCCGTACACCCATGTTGGCCGTACACCCCCCTCCATACGTATGATATACTTCCATTTCTAAGTCATTTCTTCAGTTTCCAAGTCAAGAACTCAAGTTTTCTCTCAACTATCATCAAGCTTTTCACCCC